ATAACGACTTCCAAAAGGATCCCGCCGTAGTGGTTTTCATATCGGTTCCTAGCATGGCGCCTTCCAATCTGACCCCGTTGCAATTGCATCGCGTTCCAATCGGATCCTTTCGAACTGGCTTCCAATCGGGGCTTCCTAATACGGATCCCGGCGTAACGGTTTCCAATCGGATTCCTGTGTAACGACTTCCGATGTGACCCCTTTCGTAGCGGGTCCCAACTGGAGTCCTATGGTACCGCCTTGCAGCAATATGCCTTTGTATTTGTGTCAAGGATTCCTAGCGCAACCGATTTCAGTAAGAGTCGCATTGCAATGGTTACCAATTGGATTCCAATCTAACGCCTTCCCGCAGAACTTCAGTATAGCAAAGGCTGCCCATCGGCCCACCATTGGCCTATACACTTCTTCTACCCACGCAAGAGGAGCCCTGTGGCAAGCGAGGGAGAACCCACGACGAAAGACGACACGACAACGGCGCGCGGTGGAGGGTGGGGGGGGGACACGGGCAGCGCGCGGGGGGCGCGCGCGCCCGGCGCAGCCCCGCTCAGCACGGCAGCTCCACGCGAGCTGCGGCCGCCGCGGCCGTGCGTGGCGCGGCGGCGCGGCCAAGCGGCCTTAGGCAGGCCCGGACCACCTCGGCCGCAGCCACTCGGGCCACGACCCGCCGGAAGGCGGCGTCGCTGAGCGCATCGAGCTCAGCCAGAAATCAGCTCGCGGCGGACGGCGCGGAGGCGCCCTCGCGTGGGGGCGCCCGGCCGCCGGGCGACCGCCCGCGCCGCACCCCAGCCTCCGCTGTCGAGGAACTGCGCCAGGCAGTCCCGCAGCTCCTGCGTGTCCAGAAGCGCCGCCTCGGCGCTGGCCTCCGCGCCCCGGGCCACCTCCCCACGCGGGAAAGCGCTCGCGGGTGGCGCGTCGGCGCCCGTCGGGGAAGAGCTTGCCGCAGCGTCGCCAACGACCGCTGCCGCCGCCGCGCGAGGGCGCCCGGCGCCAGGCCCCGCGCCGCCGCCGTCGGCGCTGGCCGCGACCGCCCTCGGCGCCCGGCCCAGGCGCTTCCGGCCGCGCCGCGAGGCCGCGGCCGCTGGGGCCCAGCCGGCGCCGTCCGCCGCGGGGGCGTCTGCCGCAGGCGCGGCGTCGCGGGCCGTCCCCTCGGGGGCACCCGCCGCGGGCGCGTGCGTTGGCCCGCCTCTGGGCGCGCCTGCGTCGGCGGCGCAGGCGGCCGCCGCGGGCGGGGCGGAGCTCGCGCGCGGCGCTGCACTGGGCCTCGGCGTGGCGCCGGCGCCGCGGGCCGCCCCATCGGGAGCGCTCGCCGCCTGCGCGCGTTCTGGGCCGTGGCTGGCTGGTCGGCTGCGCGGGCGGGGCCAGGCCTGCCCTCGGCGCCGCGGGCCGCCCCCTCGGGGGCGCTCGCCGCGGGGCCGTCGCCGGCGCCGTCGCGTTCGTCGGCCCAGCTGGCCGTTGTTGGGGAGCGCAGCGTGCTCTCCCAGACGCTCCCCGTCGCGTCGTACGACCTGTGGAAGTCGTGCTTGCTGGGGCAGGGCGAGTGCGTTCGCGAGTCCAGGCGCCAGCGGTCTGGCGAACCCGCTCCTGGCCCGCCGGCCGGCACCACGCTCAGGCGCCCACCCGGCCCTGGCCCAGCCGGACCAGGAAGGCGCTGTTCCCGAGTTGCTCGACCGTGCAGGCCGCCCCCGCCCGCCTCAGGATCTCGTGGAGACCCGCCGCCGTGTTTGCGCCCAGCGCCGCCGCCGCCGGTGGCGCCGTTGGCGGAGCCGCCGCCGTCGCTGCGGGGGCGCCCCAGGGTGCTACGCCCGCCGCCCCCCGAGCTCTCGGAGCAGGAGCCGGAGCCGCTAGCTCCGCTGCTGCCTGCGGCCGCTTCCCGCGACTGCTCGGGCTCGGGGGCCCCTGGCGCGGCCCCTCCGGCGGGCCGAGCGGCCGTCCCCAATTGCCCCTCCGAGGTGCGAGAGTCGGAGTATAGTAGCTCGCTGGGCTGGCCGGATCGCTGCCGCCGGCCGGTGCCGCCGCCTGCGGCGAGGCCGGGGCGCTCGGGGGAGCGCTGCGCGCGGCGCCGCCCCGTGGCCTCCCTGTCCTTCGCCTCGCGCGGGGGCGCGCGCGTGCGCGGGCGCGCGGCCGACTCCCGCCGCGTCGCCGCCCTGGGGGCGCCCGCCGTGCTGCGCTCCAGGGCTGGCGGAGCGGGCGGCGGCTCCAGCGGGGGCGGCAGCGGCGGCTGCGGCGGCCGCCGGGGCCGGGTCTTTGGCGCAGGCGCCGGTGGCGCTCCGGGCCGGCGTCGCTCGCGGCTGGAACCACGCCTCGCACTGCCGACCGCCCCCAGGCTCCTGCTACGCCGGCCCTCCGTCTGGCCCGCGGGGCGGGGCTCGCACAGGGAGCCGGGTCCAGGCGCGCCGGCGCCGCCTCCCCGCGGCGTCCGCGGGGCCTCTTCGAAGGGGAGCGCGGCACCCGCGGGGGGGTCCGGGCAGCAGCCCCCGGCTACTGCCCCCGGCGCTGGTCCGCAAGCCTCCGCCGCAGCCAGCTGCATGGGAGGCTTGACCTTATTATTCTTCTTATTCTTCTTCTTCTTATTATTCTTATTACTACTACTACTACTACTACTACTATTATTATTATTATTATTATTATTATTATTATTATTAGTATTATTATCATTATTATTATTAGTATTAGTATTATTATTATTTGTATTAGTATTATTATTATTACTATTATTACTACTATTATTATTAGTATTAGTACTAGTATTAGTATTCTTATTATCATTATTATTATTCTCCTTCTCCTCCTGGCGGTGGCCCTCCTGCCAGGGCGTCGGGCTGCCACCGCCCTGGCGCTGGGAGTAGCGGCCCGTCCGCGAGCTGGACTGGGCAGAGGCACCACGCCCAGACCCAGCCTGGCGGCAGGGGCGGCCGCTCTGCCGCCCCGCAGAAACCATCCATGCACCGGGGCCCGCGCCGCGCGGGGCCCCGGCGCGCCGCGCGCGCGCGCGCGCCTGAGGGAAGGCACTCCGAGCCTCCCCGTCGGCTAAGACCAAGGCTCAAACCCCAGGGAACAGGGTTGAGCCTTGAGCCAAAATGGCTACGGAGCCCCATGGGCCTATACACATCCTGTGCATAGGCCGACGGTCGGCCTATACATAGCCTGGGCATAGGAATGTGGTAGGCATACGGTAACCCTATGGTAGGGCCACAGAGGTCGATTGTAGGCCTATGGTAGGTCTATGCTGAGTCTATGGATGGATCTCGACTAGGGCTATGCATAGACTACGGGTAGGCCTACAGCAGATAGGTAGGCGTATGCGTAGAGTACTGGTAGGCCTACGCATAGCCTATGCACAGGCAGATCGTGGGCCTATGCGTAAATCTATGCATCAGCCTGTGGTGGGCCTACACGAGACCCTATGCACAGGCTGCGCATAGGCCTACCAAAGGCCTATGCGTAGTCTATGCATCGGCCTATGGTAGACCAGCCAGAGGCCTACCGTAGGTCTACCATAGACCTGTGGCAGGCCCGCTGTGGACCTACCCATAGTCTACCATACGCCTACCGTAGATCTACCTCAAGTCTACCATCGATCTGTGGTGGACCTGTAGGCAGTCTATAGGTAGACCTATAGCGTTCCTGTGCGCACAGCCTGTGCATAGGTCTATAGCGACCTATGGTAGGCTAGGCGTGGGCTATAGCCAGGATCCCGGATAGGTCGCGGGGGGGCGAGGACCGAGCATCCTCCCGGGAGTCAGGCCGGAAGAATCGCCTGCGAAACGTTCGGCGTTTCACTCTCCCTCGGCTCTCCCTCGGCTCTCCCTCGGCTCTCCCTCTCGGCTCTCCCTCGGCTCTCCCTCGGCTCTCCCTCTCGGCGGCCCACGTCCGCCATCGGCGCCGCCTCGTGAGCTCGGTGCCTGAGAAGGCAGGCGCGGGCCCGTGGTCCCACGGGCTTCGCCTGGCGCCTCGAGGTCGCTTGGCGCGCGGCGGATGGCGCCCGAAGGGATTGACACTGCTTCACTGCCGGGCAGTGCACTGCGCGACTCTTTCCATCCCCACTGGCATGGCGTCCTCTTTCCATCCCCACTGGCATGGCATTGGCTCCACTGGCCGCTTCGCACCCCCGGAATAGAGACCCACGCTGTTCCCTTCGGGCTTCGCGTGGCCTATCCCCACCTAAGGAGGTGGGCTGGTAGGGCCGAGAAGCCATGGCCCAGTGGGGATGGGGATCGGTTGGAAGGCGTGGACCATGGAGGGGGGGAGGAGGGCGAGAGGTACCCTGGCTTCATTTTCTAGACGGGGTCATACTGCGCATGAGCGCGCCAGTTGCTGGACTGTGTGGCGTTTCCGACCTGATCGTGCAGCGTTCCCAGCTTGCCTGGTGACGTTTGGCCTCGCACTGTCGTCAATCGCGTCGCTCATGAAGACTCGGCCGGTCCAGCCCAATTACCTCTCGAAGCCAAGAGTTCTGAGTTCGGAGTTGGTGTGCCCGGAAGCTCCAGGAGGAGAACGTATGCTACAGCGGAGGAGAATGCATCCTACAGCAGCTAGAGGGGGGCAGGGACGTCGACGATGATGGCGAACGACGGACGGCGGCGACGACAAAGCTAATTAGAGGGGTGGCCAACACACGTTGGCAAGAACAACTCCGCGGCAGAAGAAACGCCCATGCTCAGCCAACGACGGGGAGAAGGATGAGCCTCCCTGTTGCATGTGGTTGCGCAAGCCTGCCAACCCCTTCCCACTGCGCCCCCACTGCGCCGGCCCCGGGAGGGGGGGGGGGCACCCTCTGATGCCCTTCTGCCTCCTTCAATGCACAGTCATCGTCTTACTCACCCACCTCAGCGCTACACAAGGAGCCATGCGCGATGATTCGCGCTCTCTCGACGCCCGCAGAGGGTTTTGTTCTAGCCCGCACCGCGAAGCGCGAAGCGACGTACTGCGGGTGACAGTCCTCTACATTCCCACCGTTCCTGGTGCTTGCGCACGTCTCGGAGCCCTCCCGAGGTGCCCGCCTCTTCCTCAGTGACGCTAAATGACAACAGGTTCATGCCGAACATCAACTCGCCAACAGCATGCTCCACGGCCACCTGCAAGCTTGCGCAATCAACTCGTCCTCCTTATCCCCATTATCGCTCACCCACTCACTCCGGCCGTAAATTAGCAGGTCGCTGGCGCAACTCCCACAAGCACTGGTGCCACCGCCGAGAATTAGACTCCGACGGGTCATCGCCCTCGTCGTGTTTCTCCCGCTCCTAGCTCTTAACCGGAAAATGCTCCCACTCGACCCGCAGACCAAAAAGTTTCTCCCGCTCCTCGCCCTCCCGTGCGTCCCGTCCTCCTCTTCCTCATCTGGCCCTCATCCTCATCGTCCGCATCATTGCCCTCCTCGTCCAACTCGCAGTCCTGACCCGCTCCAACGCTACCATCCTCCTTCTTCCCCTGTCAGGCTGCCCCTCATAAGACGACCGCCGCCTTCGCAGTGCCTCGTGATGGGGATGCTGCCATGACAGTGCAGCAGACGCCCTGGAGGTGCAGGTCTGACGGCTACTCATGCGTCAAGGATCCACAATCCTTCCCCCGTCCCTCCCTTCCCCAATACCCGCGAAAGAACCTCCATAGAAGAATAAACAACAGCATCAACATAAGATTGCGAAGGACCTCACGGATTTCTTGGATGTGAGCTGGACCCCCCTTCCTGGCTTGCGGAGCGCGCCAGGGACGGCGCCGGAGGCGCCGCCGGGGGGGGGGCCAGAGCGGATCCAAGAAATCCGCGCGGCGCGCCAAAGGTTTATGCTCATGGCATTTTTTTGACCCCCTTCAGTGCCCTCCAATGCGCCTCCAGCAACTCTCCAAACCTCTCCTGCTCATCCTACTGGCGCCTCCGTGGGCCCTCCCGGCTTCCCCTGGGACTTCCTGGGGAGGGGGGCCGGCTTCCTGCTCCGCCTGGGGAAATCGGCTCCCAGAAGCGCTCCTCCCCAAACCTTACACCACCTCCGACGACTTTCAGGAAGTCCTGGGCACCTCCAGAGCCCCTCGGCCCCCCTTCGAAGCAACGTTTTTCCGCCACTCCGCCGCCTCATCCTGCTCCCTCTCCCTCCTCCTCCAGCTGGTCGAGACAGCCCTCGAACGTCCTACATCCCATCCGAAATCACACTCATCCGCCTCCCCCGCCTACCTCCCTCACAACTCCCCATTCGTCGTCGTCCTCCTCCTCCTCCTCCTCCCCCCTCCTTGATCTCCTCCCTCCCCCTCAGTCTTCTCTTTGTTCCTCTTCCTCCTCCTCCTCCTCCTCCTCCTCCTCCTACTGCTTTCTCCTCGTCCTCCTCCCCCTCCTCCTCCTCCTCCTCCTCCTCCTCCTGCTCCTCCTCCTCCTCCTGCTCCTCCCCCTTCTCATCACAGTTCCTACTCCTCCTGGTTCTCCTCTTACTCCTCCTCCTCCTCCTCCTCCTCCTCCTCCTCCTCCTCCTCCTCGGGCCAACGGCTGGCCTCGTCGCACTCGATGTAGAATCCGAACATGCCGGTGTCCTTGTAGAAGTGGGCGAAGGCCTCGCGGGGAACCGAGCACCAGGCCAGCTCCCATAGCACAACATGACTTGGGGAGGAGGAGAGAAGGGAGTTGGAGTTGTTTTGTTTGGGGGGGATGTGCTGGAGGGAGGCTGGGAATCCTCAATGTCATGCAGGTGCTGGAGGGAGGCTGAAATCTGTCATTTCTTGTTGCCGTGATCGACAACCAACGTCTGAAAGCTGCTTGAATTCTGCACTCCACTCAGGGTGTCCTGCGCACTCAGACAGGACAAACATCGACGCCTCGGCTATCTAGAACCATGTTGCGAGCGAGAGAAATTCAAGACAAGCCCAGAACGCCCCACAACCTGGGAGAGAACAACACATTACCAAGAATTACCCGTGGGAGGCCCTGCTCAAGCCTCTGAATCGTATAGAAGGGGAATAGCGGAAGCGCAGAAATCATTCACTTCCTTTAGGTATTCAACGACTTGAAGCCCTCAAAGGCTTCCTGGGGTCTTTTTTGGGAGGTGAGGGGGGTCTGAATTGTGGTCTGTTGTGCAAGAGTAGACCGGGGGCCAAACTTGAAAATTATGCTGCCGGAGTTCCCCACATAAGGCTGAGGCGGGGCCTCCGCTGGACGGGTGGACGGGGCACGAAACCTAGGAGACAGCACGGGATCTGAACACCCCCGTAGCTCAGGGGAGGCATCTTTGGAGACACGGGAGGGCACGAAACCTGCGAAATTAAACGAACACTGCGCTCGGCAGCGTGCTCTTTTGCAGCGCAGAGAAGCTTTTGGGGCGAGCAAGAGCAGGAAAGCCGATACAGTGGGACGGAAGGAGAAGAGGAAGGAGAAGAGGAAAGGCAGACAATAGCAAGGATGACGATGGTAATTGCGGGTGCGTGGGGTGAAGTAGACGGCCTTCAGCGCTCCTGTTTTCACGTGTACACATGGCTGGAACTCAATGCAAATCCAAGATCAAAGAGTCCTGGAGGTTCAATCACGCGCAAAGGCGCGCTGAGGTCGCCCTGCTGAAAGAGCATCTCAAACCTCGACAAGCCCGCGGCTGCGGACTGTCATGTCCGCAGCCACGGAGGCCGAGGCTGCGTCGTTCAAGGCGCGTTTGCGCTTCAAAGGCGTCATGGCGTGGGCGGAGCTCAGGCGGGGCCTCCCTGGACGGGTGGGAGGGGCGCGAAACCTGATAAATCACATGGTATCCGAATGCTGTCCTCGCTCAGGCGGGGCCTCCCTGGAGGGGTGGGAGGGGCACGAAACCTGAAGAAGCACATGGTATCCGAATGCTGTCCTCGCCCAGGCGGGGCCTCCCTGGAGGGGTGGGAGGGGCACGGAACATGATAAATCTCACGGTGTCCGAATACTGTCCTCGCTCTGGAGGGGTGGGAGGGGCACGTCACCTGATAAATCACATGGTATCCGAATGCTGTCCTCGCTCAGGCGGGGCCTGCCTGGAGGGTTGGGAGGGGCACGAAACATGATAAATCACATGGTATCCGAATACTGTCCTCGCTCAGGCGGGGCCTCCCTGGAGGGGTGGGAGGGGCACGAGACCCCAAAAAACACATGGTATCCGAATACTGTCCTCGCTCAGGCGGGGCCTCCCTGGAGTGGTGGGAGGGGCACGGAACATGATAAATCACTAGGTATGCGAATACTGTCCTCGCTCAGGCGGGCCTCCCTGGAGGGGTGGGAGGGGCACGAAACCTGATAAATTACATGGTATCCGAATACTGTCCTCGCTCAGGCGGGGCCTGCCTGGAGGGGTGGGAGGGGCACGAAACCTGATAAATTACATGGTCTGCGAATACTGCCCTCGCTCAGGCGGGGCCTCCCTGGAGGGGTACGAAATCATATGATGTGGTGTTGCATGATATCTTATGGTATTGTATGGTATGGTATGGTATGGTATGGTATGGTATGGATGGTTTCGCGATGGCATGTGGAACAGGAAGCGGGAGAAGGAGAAGGAGAAGGAGAGGGTATTCTTGGAAAACAAGAACCCCACTCAGGATGTGGGGAAAAAGCGGAATTGTGGGATTTCCATGTTTTTCCAGCTCCTCGGCGCTGTTCGGCGCTGTTTGTTGTTTGTGCCTCGCGGGTTTTGTTAGCCGGGCCCCTCAAGGGTGTGGGATCTTCCTGACCCCCTGGAGCTTCTGGAGGCCTCCTGGAGGCCTGGAGAGCCGCCGGAAGGGTGTCTCGGGCTGCGCGGCAGCGTGTTGGGCCGTCCTTTACGCTCTGGGGGCTCCTTGAGGTCGTCATGGGCTGTCCTTCGGCGTCTTGGGGTCTCCCCCCGGGAAGCCGGGAGGCGCGGTACCAGCCAGATGTCAGGGAGGTGTGGGACCCCCGAGTAGGAGTCCCACTTTGAAAATGATACCAGAGAAAAACCCCACTCAACATCTTTTTCGGGCTTTAGGGCTATGGTGCTATAAGGCTATAGGGCTAGAAGGCTATGTGGCTATAGGGCTGCAAGGCTACAGGGCCATAGGGCTATAGGGCTATAGGGTCATGGTGCTGTATGGCTGTAGGGCTATAGTGCTATAGGGCTATAAGGCTATAGGGCTATTAGGGCTATAGGGCTGCAAGGCTATAGGGCTATAGGGCTACATAGAACTACCAGGCACCTGGGCACCCGGGCACCCGGGCACCCGGGCACCAAGGCACCCGGGCACCCGGGCAGCCCCGGGCACCCGGGCGTGCCGCGAAATGCGGCGGCAAACCTAACCTAACCATATGAATCCGCTAGGACCCCTACAAAGGCAAGCTCTGATTGGGGAAAAATCGAATTCTGGGAATTCCGTTGTTTTTTTTCTCTCGGGTTGGAAGCGGGAAAACGTGCAAAGGCGAAACACATTAGAAAAACCATGGGCAAATCAACGATGTTACCCTCTTTGGGCTCTCTCGGGACTGCTCTCGCAGTCTCTCGGGGCTGCTCTCGCAGTCTCTTACGCTCTTTGGGCTCTCTTGGGCTTTCCTTGGAGCCTCGTCGGGGTCTTTTTGGGGCCTCTCATGTATCGGGGGTGTGTTGTGAGCTGGGGTCCTGGAGGCCTCTCGGAGGTCTCTGGAAGCCTCCTGCTCCCGCTCGTGGGCCCCTCTTGGGCCTGTTCTGGGGTGGTCTGGGGCTGTGCTGGGCGCCCCTTCGGCAGTCTTGGAGCCTTCTTGGCCCGTCTTGGGGCCGTCCTGAGGGTCTCTTGGGTGGTCTTGGGGCGGTCTTGGGAGGCTCCTCGTCGCTCTTGGACCATTGGAAGCTCGACAACGAGAGAAACCAAAAACATGGAAAAACACATTTACGATTTTGGCCTCTGCGGGCCGTCCCGTGACACCTATCAGACCTCTCTTGGGGTCTCTGGGAGGCCACCTGGGAGCCTCGAGAGCCGTCGGAAGGCTGACTTGGGCTGCTCGGGAGCGTCTTGGGCCATCCTTTCGAATTCTGGGGGCTTCTGGGAGGCGTCTTGGGCCCTCCTGGAGCGCTGTGGAGGCTCCCCGGAAAGGCTGGGGGCGCGGTACTGGGAGCGTCCCCGAGATGTGGCGGGCAGGTGTGGGACCCGAGGCCGGGGAGGGGCGGTACTTATTCAGACATATATATATATATATACACACACACTAGAACCACGCGCGCGCTTCGCGCGCGCTTAGGTTCTAGCGCTGGCTCCGCAGTCATTGTCAATAGCCTTTGCGCGAATCCACACACTCGAGTTCACCAAAGGAGAAGTGTCCCGAGCGTGGGCCACCCTCAACGCGTGGCGCCAGGCTTTCTGATGGATAACAACGGGCTTGTGGGACAGTCACGGAGTCCGTCGACCCCTTTTGGGTCATTAAGGCGTTTGAGATTCACCCCAAAAATCCCCCCTGGGCAGGGGGGGTGGCGGGGGGGGTGGAGGGAGGGCAAAATTGCAGATGAAAATGCTGAGCGAACTTTGCCCGTTTGACCATGGGATCCCCACTGTCAAACGGGCAATCGGCCACACTTCCCTTCAGATTCCCTGTTTGACAGCGGGGGCCCCATTATAAAATATGCAATCGGATACCCCGATGACCCATTTGACAACGGGATTCCTTTTGCTAATTGGGCGATCTGAGGTCAATTCGCCCGCCTCGGCCGAGCACCCTCGATTGCTCATTTGATTTTGGTTCCCCACGGTCAAGAAGGCGATCGGAGCTCAATTCCCGCGACTCGCCCCCCCGATTGACAGTGGGCCCCCACTGACACATGGGCAATCGGAACTCAACCCCCGCGCCTCGGCCTGCCTCCCGGATGGTCCACGTGGCATCGAAAGGCGTCTCTCGGCTGGCCGGCAGAGCAGGGCACGGCGATCTTGAGGGGCCCGGGTGCAGACGCCTCCTCTACCCCCTCTTCGTGTTCCTTCCCCTCCCAGGCTGGCGTTTTGCACGGTGGAGTTCCCTTCTTCTGAGTGCGGAAGCTGGCAATTGTCATCGGCAGCAAGTATCAAGCCTGGAGGCCTCCAAACTGTTCCGCTGAGGCTCCAAGAGCCTTCCGAATTGTCTCCAAACGGTCCGCCCCCGAGGGCTCTCAACCGACCCCATCAATCATCTGACCAAAACATCCCCTGAAGGCCTCAAGAGGCGCGGAAGAAACCACAGCCCACCAGGGTCGCCCAACCTTCTCAAAGGGAGCGAAAGATGCTGGTCTTTTTTGTTTTCGAAGCCAGCCGAACCCCATGCGGGAAAGTTGTGAATACCGTCGTCGTTAGTATCGCCTTCGGTGGATCTCCTCATGGGGCCACGAAGCGCGTGAAGAGTGTGCCGACATGGGGCGGGGTGGCCATGCGGGCGCTGCTACTGGGGCCTGATATAGAGGCCCCTTTTCTGGAGCCACAAAACGTATGAGGGATGGATGTGCCGAAATGGGGGTGACGCCATGCGGGCACTGTCACTGAGGCCTTCGGTGAAGCTCCCTATGGGGCCACGACACGTGCGAGAGGCGAGCGGCGATGAGAATAACAATACGAATGACCTTAAGTGGAGCCTCCTGTGGGGCCCCGAAACGTGCGAGGGGTGTTCA